CAGTATGGTTACTTCACATGACAGGATTTATGAAGATCCGGGTTTAGAATGGCGGTTCCCTATTTTGGACTCACCCGTGAACAGTAATAGGCTCGCTGACTTGCTTGACACATGTCATCGTATCCCAATTGCGTAGATTGATGCTCATGTTATCGATCACTGGATTGTCTGGTCCAGCCTCGATTACTTACAGACCGCATGCATATAGCTGAAATATTGCTGAGTGCGGCGTTAGACAAACAACCAACCAATCTATTATCATTCACGCTGAAATATTGACGCAGGCGTAAAACAATATTCACTCGTTTTGTATCAAGCAAGGTCACACAAGAAGGAACACCCGGTCACATATGAAGATGGCCAAGAGCAATGCAATACCACTCACGCTCGCGGACAATCGGCATTCTGAACCACGAGGCCAATTATAGTGCAGTTTCCGTCACATCAACTAATTAATCGTGTATTTTTTTACTCCGTCAAATCGGATTAAGAATCACTCGTAATGGATGTTGGGGCCACGGACAATGTCCCATAGCAATCATGTTCTTAGCGTGGTGATTAGAAAATTACTGCAATTGATTTAAGTAAGACCGTCTTATCCGGTCAGAGCCAGGTAGCCAATGTCGGTAATGATTGCAATTGACATGTGTCGATATCATGCCCATCAATCACCAACATGACAGTTCTTATCTTACTGGGCTTTTCACTCCGGCGTTGTGGATTTGCTATTGTTTGTTTAGCGTGACCTTAGCCCCAGGGGTCAGGGATAAAGAAACACTATCAGCACTCACTGCACACATATCGTTGTGATTGGGTGTATGTTGGAATGTAGAACCTGGTAACAAAATTTAAAATTATGAAATTAGATGTTCACATCCAAGATAAAAATTATCCTATTAATCTCTTGAAATAGAAAACTGGTAAACATAGAGGCAATAGATAATGTGGTCTCACCTCAGGCAAGTGTGTGTGTGTGTGTGTGTGCGTGCGTGCGTGTGCGTGCGTGCGTGCGTGTGTGCGTGTGTGTGAGTGTAGCCTAGTGGTTAAAGCGTTCGCTCTTCACGCTGAAGACCCGGGTTCGATTCCCCACATGGGTACAATGTGTGAAGCTCATTTGTGGTGTACCCCGCCGTAATATTGCTGGAATATTGCTTAAAGCGGCGTAAAGCTAAACTCACTCACTCTAGTTTAACAAGCACTTTTCATCTTCAGACTGAATCATCCGACAGCGGTGATTGGTTGATCGTGTATGCGATTTTTGTGGGATGTTTAAAGGCACTTCCATTCATAGCCAGTAATTAAAACTGACCATATTTTGTCACATTTAGTGCTGTTTTTTTAACATGATGACTTAAGACAAATGCGACCGCAAGTATTTTCAAGCGGGTAACATTTTGTGCGGAGTGAGTGAGTGAGTTTACTTTTACGCCGCACTCAACAATATTCCAGCTATATGGCGGTGGTCTGTAAATAATCGAGTCTGGACCAGATAATCCAGTGATCAACAGCATGAGCATCGACATACGTAGCTGGGCTACGATAACATGTGTCAACCAAGTCAGCGAGCCTGACCACCCGACCCCGTTAGTCGCCGCTTCCGACAAGTATAGGTTACTGAAGACCAATTCTAACCCGTATCTTCAAGGGTCGAACGTCTGAAGTAAGCCTTGCTCCAAGTCTTTACTGAGTGCTAAACCAATGTAGACTAACCCTGGTCCAGGCTCGAATATGTACAGACAGGCGCCATATAGCTGGAATATTGCTGAGTGCGGCGTAAAACTAAACTCACTCACTCAGACGTTCGCACAACGAAACGCTGTTCGGGAAAGATTAACACATTCGCCCAAATACAGCTTTTAGTCTGCGTGGAGAGTTTCATTAGTAAAGTATATCCTTCTGTTTAATCATCCCTCTACTGTCTACAAGACCACGTGGTCACATGACTCGTGATGTGACTGGAACATGCAGTTGTTGGCAAGTGTATCGTGCAAATCTAAGTAATGTCATTTTATTGTAGCTCTGAGATTGATTGTGGGTTTAATGTTTTGAGATCATTTCGCAGCATGAAAGGTGGATGGAATTGCCTTGCAGATGTCGTCATAAATGCTCGGAAGTTCGCCATATGTTGAGCTTGTTATGGACAATGTGTGGAGTTATGAATAAAAGAATACATTGTACTTGTATATATCTTGGAAAATATTGTGTACTTTTTATTGGATTTCCCGGAAGCTGCGATTAGCACGGAAAATATTGATGCGACATAGATCAAAATTTATTCATCTACTCATTCACGTTCTGGGGCAACAGTGGCAACAACATGGTGGGTGCGTAGGTTATCAGGATCATATTTCATGTATATCGTATCTTGAGTTCGTACGTCATCTGGCTTACTGTTTAAAAGAATTTGCGTGCATGCGTGCGTGCGTGCGTGTGTGTGGTTAACGTCGCACTAAGCAGTATTCCTGCTGTATGATGTCTGTGAATAATCGAGTCTGGACGTGTGTAATTTTATCACAATGGCTTAGATATGTGTTCATACTGTCAATGACGGATTTGTCTAGTCCAGATGACTGTAGTTGCTAGTGCTATCTAGTCCAGATGACTGTAGTCTAGGACCAGATGACATAGCCGCTCTATTTCCAATGACTGTATGTACACTAGTCCGGACACTGCCGCTCTTCTACATGTACTTCACTGACACACAGTATACTGATTCCAGTCCTTGTTCCACCTCGTGCATGCTGTCCGCTAGCCAGGGTAACAACAAGTAACACCCACTTTCTTACAACCGACTTTCATATCTCGGGGCAAACGTTTTGCCCACCTGACAAAGGAAGTGGTCAAATTAGCACGAATGGTTTCAAGTGGTTTGGGTATTATTTTATGCCGCTCTTAGCAATACTCAGTAAAATGACACCCAAAACATCAGAAATAGGCTTCTGTAGACAATCGAAACCAAGCTCTCAGCGTGACGGACGAACGCTTCAACCACACGGCTCCCCAACCATCGCTCAAACGATGGATGTTACAGGCTTATCTTGAGGTGAGCTATATTAATGTTTGATCACTGCAGCAATATCCAGTGGATGATGACATAAGCATCTGTTCACCCAATCAGCATGAAGTGAACAGTCATGTGATATACTGAACGCTACGTCACTTTTTGGCCACGCATTCTGAGTGTGTATGTTTAGTTTTACGCCGCTTTTAGCAACATTCCAGCAATATCGTGGCAGGGAACACCAGAAAAGGGCTTCACACATTGTACCCATATTGGGAATCGAACCCGGGTCTTCGGCGTGACGAGCGAACGCTCTAACCACTAGGCTACCCATCGTCCCTTCCTCTGAAGGCAAGGTAGGCGTTATTTGATATGTAGTATGGGACAAAACAGCACAAGTGTCAAATTCATAATATATTTATTCAACCAATCAAACAGGAGAACAAACACCACTACACTCTCAAAACCACTAACAGTACATCTCTCAACAAGAAACAGTCGACCCGTGACGTCATCACACTCAAGCCAATCAAAATAGTAGCCACAGTCATTGGCTAAGAGCGCAAGGAGTTTTATAAGTTTTCCCATCCGCTATTGAGCAACGAGTCAATTCGGACCCCAATCCACCATCTTTGCCTGATCAAATGTCAATGACTCGAGACAGAGAATTCAAAACAAACCGCGCCTTTATCTGACTGTGAATAGTATTTTCTCAGCTTGAGAAAACAATTTTAAATCATGAGATACCTAATAAATATCAAGGAGTAGCAAAACTTATACATTCCAATCATAATAATAAATAAATTTCAGTTTTTAAATTTCATGTAATGTTTACTTACATTTGAAATAACCGCAATACTTGTAATGATAAATTATTAAATTAATCTATATCTACTTGGAATGATACAAAAACGTATAGGTGGAATATCCCTGCTAAAATATTAAATAGTGAGTACTCTCATCACAATTTACAGCCAATCACAACACAGGAAATATGTTTCCATGGTTACAATCACAAACAGGAAGTGTATGCAAGTTACATAATAGAGTGGTGCTTCATCACAGATTGAGAATATACAAAATACATTTAACGTACTCGGAGATATGTTTGCATATTTACATGAATTGTTCAAACATTAACTCATTCCTTCTCCGGGTCATAGTTCATTCAATTGCGAACTTTCATTACATTTTTGCAAACGTACCAATCGATAAATACAGCAAATCTACAGCAGAAACCATTGAAACGTTTCCAAGGCATATAATTGTAGTCTTCACTCAGCCGTTGTACACGTGTTTCTACAGTCAATACTCGAGCAAGTAGGGCAGTGAGACAGCGCAGTGGCAAAGTTTGATATTCTAGGTGGGCCGTGAAGGTGGGACGGGTGGGGAATTACATAAAAAATTAAACAATGTTCCAGAAGATGCCTTAAAAAGTCATTTTTGAAAGAAATGACATCGCCAGCCACCAAAAATAATTGTTGAAAGATTTTTTTTATAAACAAATAGCGTTTTGTTATTGTTGAAATATACAAGCTCGTTCGCTCGCTCACTCACTCACTCACTCATGCTCAATCACTGACAAACACACACACACTCACTCACGAACCGAACCGAACGAACGAATCAACAATCGAAAGAACGAACGAACGAACGAGCAAACGAATAGATCAAACGAACCGAACGATACGTGAGAGTTATTTTCCAATGTATCTACATCCACACAGGAACAGATAAAAACACTACACGGGCACAACAGTAGGTAATACAGTCAATCTATAATACAATGCTGGACGGATGTAGGGCAGGTCGATAACCGAGTTATCGATTAGTGAATATCGTGATATCGATATTATCATTCATTACAGGCACACGGCACGCACGCTCACTCCTCGTTACCCCAAAATTTGGAAAAATTTGGAATCCGTTTTTTAACAGACTCGATGTGTATTTTCAGGCCAAGTGGAGAGTATAATCTTTTACTTCTTATTTTTTTCCATAAAACGGACCAAAATGTGTTATAACGGGGAGATGTATATAAATGTATAAAAGCATATTATCACAAGGTAGGGATAAGGAATCTTCATAAAACCAAACCACATTCAATCGTAATAGCAAAGATTCCTCACATTAGGAAAAAAATATGAAATGCGAAAAACGCATTTGATATACATGGGAAACTTGCAATATGACACGAGCTGATATATGCATGGAATGTTCACTGTGTGAAATACATATGTATGCATTATGGAAAACGATCTGTTGGCATAACAATGCGCATGCTTTGATTTGATTTGTTATGAAATATTAATACAAATTCCATAAAATATAAATCGAGAACATATACTCACATATTCAGAAAAACATAATTTCATCTAAAGCACTTATCTCATGGAATTGGCTGAAATATTTTCAACAAACAGTTTTGGGGCAGCGGCCATTGCTAATTGATATTATTCTGATAACATCTGACAATAGGCTCAGTGCGCATGTCAAATATGCTCAGGAAGTAATTATTGCTGTCTGTTGAGTTTCATTGTCTATTTATAACTCATAAATGTTACGTTTGTTTAACCGCATCAAAGAGCGAAATTTCTCTTGTTAATAAAACATAGAGAAAATGCCATAACTATATTTGAGAAACTCCGTTTAACAAATGAGACAATCCCGATAGTAAACATTGACCTTATCCTACATTGCTGATCAATACCGTTTGTAAATGGCTTAATGGCTTCCGCCCGTAGCATACAATTTAAACGGAATGTTTAGCGCCATGCAGAAATAATTAAGATGGCTGGCGATAACATAGTGTTGAGAAAGATGTCTGATTCAGTGTGCGTCCAAACGTTGCAGTGTCTACTTAACAATCGGCCATGATGTACTAAATTCATGTCTAGCACAGCGAACACTTACTGTGTTTCAAAACAGTTTTAATTTCCTAACCATAAAAATGTCGGTTGCTTTTGAACTTTGTCCTTTCGACTTCTTAAATATTAACATGAAATTAATATTTAAGTCGAAGATGGGCATTTGATATTTTTAAAACAAAGAATCAACAATGTTTTCCATTAATAAATTATATTTGGGAAATAAGATTCTCTGAGGAAAGGTTGAAGGTCTTATCGATATGCGGCTATGAATATTAGATGAGAGAAATGAAACGATTTAGCACTTGTGAAAATGGAATGCACTTTTGTATGTGAATATAGTTTTGCTTAAACAAACACGGTGATGTCAAAAGACTTAACAATTTGGTGTAAACAAAAACGCAAATACTGGAATCAATATTCTTGGAAATGAACACTCTTGGTGGATACATACTGGATTTCAAACGATTTCACGCCTCACTCATTCACTCACCAATACGCCCTTTTCAGTTGCGTGTATTGCAACGGAGATTGAGTGAGTGAGTGAGTTTAGTTTTACGCCGCTTTTAGTAATGTCCCAACAATATCACGGTGGAGGACACAGAAATGGGCTTCACACATTGTACCCATGTGGGGAATCGAACCTGGGTCTTCGACGTGACGAGCCAACGATTTAGCCACAAGGCTACCCCACCGCCCCTGATTTCAAACGATATGTTATGGAATGTTGACGATGTAGCTTAGGAAACCAATGTCAATATAGATATTGATGGAAATGTTTACAGACAACCAACACACTCACATACTCAACTATCAGCTTGGAATGGCACCGACACCATTATTAGGTCAGTATTACTACCTGATCTAATTACGACAACCAAAAAACGAAGCTCCCTTTGGCCCTCATCATGTGCGTCACTGGAGCACGAACGGGAAATTAGCTAATCCCAATGTCGTAAACTGTCACGACAACCGTAAAGCGATATGCCATTTCCTCTTCGCCCCGATTGTTGATAGCGACATCGATATTTGAAATTATTGATCGACTAGGGTATTACTACCTGTCGTTCTCTCGTTAACCCATGATTAAGCACCGAGCGGTCAGGTGTAATATAATAATCATATTAACTTAAGTCGGATTCGTCTCTTGATTTGCGACTGCCTCGAGTAGGTAAGCAGACGCCAGATTGATTTTCATCGAGCTGGCCCAGATCGCCATATGCCATCCTGACGAGGAACGGTGACGATTTCTGATCGGTGAGATCGTGAAAGGCGATAAGAATGATGAATTAGAATTCTCAAACCACCGTCTTGACAGGAGAAGGGGATTCAGACATTGAGAGTGTTATGTCAAGCACTTTCAACAAGCTTTTAATTAGGCACTTTAGGTTTTAGGCTTTTCACGCTCCGCTTTGATGTGGGAAATATTATCGTTACTCAGTGAAATATGTGTGTTTGGTTCTGGGACGTATATGTTGGGTAACTGATACACTGCGAATGAGATACAATCTACAGCGCCACTTCAGCACATTGGACGGGGTAAACATGAGACACGTGTCTTGGTCTTTCGGCCGAGGCCGTGTCGTAAATAACACTAATAAAATACTTCTTGGAAACATAAAGCACACGTGGTACTTTGACTGGATGGAATAAATATATGCCCTTCCTCACCGGAAGAAGAAGTTCGTGGTGGCGGCCATCTTGCAACAGAATAGTATCCTGGACGGATATGAAGCGTGTGGATCTTTGTGTGACGTCATGTCGCATGTGATCATAAATTATAATAAATATTGTCCTCGTGTTGTGAATAAATAGTCTATGGTCTGATGGTGATTTCAGTTTCGTATACAATTCCTATGTTCGCACATTTCACGTATAGTTGACAGAATGCTGACGGATTCCTTCAACACACTGTTCGTCTGTACCAGCTCTCTACTGAACTGTTCGAAACTTGCTGGTGTCGTATCTTGTCGCCGGATGTTCTTATACGCAGCTTCCGCCATCTGCAGGAAGTTCATCTCCATCATTGAGCATGTGCATTTCTGTTTTTTGGTTCTCGGAGAAAGTGGCACAGAGTTTTCTGACGATGTATCACCTGCAAAAGACAATTGTTACACTGAAGAGGAGGTAACTCTCACATTGTTCCCCAAAATTGGCGAACATAGGCCTCAATATCAACAGTTGTTGAGTGTTTTTTAGCGCCGCCTTTATCGATAAGTTAGCCACGCTGGAACCGGTTGAAATTTTATCCTACGTCCTGATAATAAGAGGTGACTTAATAAATCGGTTGATCATGGTGACTCTGTTGCTCGCACTCTCAGTCACTTGATTGTTAGGTCCAGACTTGATCTTAAATGGACGTCGTTATATAACCGAAGGTGGACAAACAAACATTTCTGTAAAATCTGGTATAAGTCAAAATTAGCAAACACGTGGCATCCAAACAAAAATAGTGCACATACCAAATTTCCTTTTCTTTGTCATCTCCAATCTTTCTCTGCCTGACTCCATATGTCGTTGCTGACGATCCATACAGTCGCATCTGTGATGGTCGGGGAACGGTGAGGGCGGTGTGGGTGTGGCCCAGGAAGGGGAGTGGAGTGGACGGTCATGGTAGGTGAAGTCCCGGTCGAAAAACGCCCGGGGGTGTTCGGGACCAGGGGACCTCTTGTCCCTGTATGCGTAGTACATTGGGTGCTTGTCGGAGTCTCGGTGGCGGTCAACGTACACGTCGTCGTGGGGCTCTGGGGGTACCCGGTGGTACGTATCTGGAAGGGCAAAGTACGTGTATAAGCATAGTAGTAGTGGTAGTAGTACTAGTGGTAGTAGTAGTGGTGGCTGTAGTATTAGTAGTGGTAGCAGTGGTAGTAGTAGTAGTAGTAGTAGTAGTGGTAGTAGTAGTAGTAGTAGTAGTAGTAGTAGTAGTAGTAGTAGTAGTAGTAGTAGTAGTAGTAGTAGTAGTAGTAGTAGTAGTGGTAGTAGTAGTGGTAGTAGTAGTGGTGGTTGTAGTATTAGTAGTGGTAGCAGTGGTAGTAGTAGTAGTAGTAGTAGTAGTAGTAGTAGTAGTAAAGGACACTGGAGCAGTAGTAGGTGGTAAGAATTCGTTAATAACACCAAGAGTTTTCGTTGCATATACTTATCCTTTCTTAAAACCGGGCTATATTTTTCTTTCAAGAAATTGTTAAATTATTTTGTGAGTTGAATCTGAATGTCAGATACCAAAAAAACCCACAAGGACATTTTCTGGAACGGCAATCAAATAGACGCTCATGTACCCACGTGCACAAAGCGACCTCATTACATGATCGTAACTCCCATACCCTAAGAGGGTTTTAGCGCTAAGGTCTCTTTGTGCAACGGGTCCCACATCTACCTCAACCTATCGGTTTCTGTTTTTCAAAACCAAGTCGTTCTTACCATTCCGGATAACTCTGTATTCGTTTTCAATTCCTGCAAACAGTTGCCTCTTGATCTTCTCCGACATGGAGTCTCCAGATTGTCGATCTGGATCTGCAGCTTGGCGGGGAGTCAGACTCGCGTTCTCGTCGGCAACCTTCTCATAGCGTAATGGCGGCTGGAGCACTTCCGGTACACGTTTTGGCGTGGACTCAGTCTTGGATTTGAGAATCTGGAATTGCATGACAGAATATTTAAGGTACCATACATGGTATCGTTCCCTTCTGAGCAACTTTCATCCCATGAGGCCAAAAATATTTTCGCGTTATACACGAATATTATAAATTGGCCTGACCCTGCAAATTCCTGTGTTATTCAGAGTTGCATTTTCCAGGTACATGTAACAAGAGAAGACGAATAGAAATACCGTTATTGCTTGTGAATTTAGGATAGCTGAAATAATCTAGCTGACACTTGTTATTTGAAAGTCTACATTTTTGTTTCTGACATAATACGGTTAGGCGGAATTGTGAAAAGACATCGAGAATATATTCGCAGACGCCCTGCTTTTAACAGCGTTGTTGAAATTCATGCGCCATGGGCATCAACCGTCCACTTTGTCTGTGCATTTAATATGCCGGTAAGAAATCCAATAAGTACTTATCCAGGAATTGGGTTTTTGTATGCAACTGAAGCCTAAAAGGCGAAATAGGGCTGTGGCAAAGCGGCTAAAGCGTTGGCTTGTCGCGTTGAAGACCCTGGTTTGATTCCTGGTACAGTGTGTGAAGCTCATTCCTGGTGTCCCTCGCTGTGATATTGATGGAATAGTGCTAAAAGTGGCGTAAAACCCTAACCATTCACTTAAAAGAACACTAAAACCGAAATCAATAACCGATCAACAACACGGTTGATCGAAATTGGATTTATTTCGAAAACACAAAAGTCATGCTTAACGACAAACTGTTAAATCGGTATCAGCGTTCTCGTGAGAACGAAAATATACTTCATCCGAGTCGTGCGTTGATACAAACATTGCAGATCACGTCCACAAGTCCTTAAAATATCGGCTATATTCTGAATAGAGTAATCCATACATGGACGGCCATGTCATGGGAAGGGCCTCAGTCTCTGCGACGTCCACCGATGCACACGCGTATCACTTATTCACCTACCCGGCGATGGTGGAAATACCGTTGCTTGGCAAGATCGAAGCCACCTTGCTTGAAGAATAGGTTCAGGACAAAGGCCCGTTGAAGGCTTTGTGCGTGCTCACAATACCAAGACGATGGCTGCGATATCCAAGTACGTTTTGTTTAAGCATGGTTGGGTCTTTTCCGTGCCACCATCGATTGCAGCGTTACGAACGTGACAAATTTCGATGGAGCAAATTGGGGATTTGGGTAAAATAAATATTTAGCACTTTAGCGTTGCATTGACGGTCGATGCTAGATAAAGGGAAATATTGTTGACGTGTGACCTATTATCAAAGATGACTTTGTTGTTGTTGCTATTTCTGCTTGGTGCTGAAGATACAAAGGATGCAGGTCGGGCGCGATGGGAGAGTGGTGATTAGTTAAAATGATTGGGTTATGATTGTCGTATCGTAAATCTGTCACAGAGGGTACAATCATGCACGTCGCCATAGTTCTGAATATGCATGACGACGCACAAGAACGCTAGTGTGCAAGGGGGTGCATGAATACTATGTTACTGAGTGTAATTGTGCATTACTATTGTGTTACTGGTGAGTTTGCATCAGTATTTGTTACTGAATGAGTAATTGTGCATCAGTATTGTGTTACTGAATCAGTAATTGTGCATCAGTATTGTGTTACTTAATGAGTAATTGTGCATTAGAACTGTGTTACTGATTGAGTAATTGTGCATTAGAATTGTGTTACTGATTGAGTAATTGTGCATTAGAATTGTGTTACTGATTGAGTAATTGTGCATTAGAGTTGTGTTACTGATTGAGTAATTGTGAATTAGAATTGTGTTACTGATTGAGTAATTGTGAATTAGAATTGTGTTACTGATTGAGTAATTGTGCATTAGAATTGTGTTACTGATTGAGTAATTGTGCATCAATTGATTGTGTTACTGAGTGAGTGTGTTAATGAGTAGTTGTGCATTGTGGTGTGTTACAGCGGATTGAGTAATTGTGAACTATCATCGACTGTTTAATAGTTCAGTTCAATAAGTTTGACGGAAAATGAGAATACTCGTGCATTAAATTGTATTTACTAGCTTCACAATAAACAGACTTGTATTTTGAGCGGTTTTAACTATCATCGACTGTTTAATAGTTCAGTTCTAAGTTTGACGGAAAATGAGAATACTCGAAAAGTATTTACTAGCTTCACAATAAACAGACTTGTATTTTGGACATAGTCCGGTGTGATGGGGAAACGCCCTAAGTGATGTAGGATTCTAACTTTTTTTGGAAACCCCGGGCATCGGTATGCTGCTGACATACCTAGAAAGAAGATTGTGTGAACGAGAATTTGAACCCATTATCATAGGTTGGTTACCTCCCCTTAACGTCGGGCGCCAGGCAGGGTAACAACAAGTGCCATGTTTTACGTCATCTGGTACGAAACGACCGGGCCTCAAACTACAGCCCGGCTTTCCTGCTAGACGTTCCCTACACAGGACTAGTCACGTGGTCCATGCAACGTTAAACACTCACTCACTCACTCACTTCCAGGACTGAAATACGTTCAAATTAACGTCAACCACGACTGTCATACCACGTCCATCAAGGAAATAATACGAATGACACGAGCGAAGTGAAAGATTCCAGTTTGAAATAAGATATTGATTCGCCGTGTCTATTTCACAAATTAACGTAACAAATAGATGGCCGGCCAATTACCCAGCAAGCCGACTGAAGATATCGATATTCTCATTCCTGTGACGACAATAACCTATCGAGTCTGGAAATGTATCTGTTTCACTTTTTCATGTCAAAGCAATCTGCATTAAGTCGTTTCTTATGTTAAGTCTCTTTTTGTGCTAAGAATAAGACGGCTCTTTTAGCTCCATGCATTTGCCCCCACCCCCACCCCCAATTCCCCACCCGTGATTGCTATTCACAACTGTTGTCAACACGTATTAAACAATATTGATTTCGTTTCAGTGAAAGGACTATTTTTTCGCCCATTACTTGTCACTGCAGCAACCGACAAACAAATCAACCAATCACAGCCTGCCATCGCACGTATGTATCCCGGAAGCAACGGTTTAAGCACGTGACTTTAAAAGATATGGACTATTTTCCACAACATAAAGTGGACAATTTGCACCCGAAATTACCCAGTTTGGGTGTTTTGTAATCATGATGAATCGCTGCATCTGAGGGTGAATACCGAAAGATGAACGTGAAATTATTATGTAATCGCAGACTGTTGGAATCAAGTTCCGTCACAATACGGACACAATACAAATCGGACTGGCAATAATGACTCGATACTTGAAAATCTAAACTGTTTACGCGGACGTCCTGTATTTATCCAATTTCAAACAATATCCCATTTTTATTTGGAATTATGATCATTTTATTGATTACATATTTCGTCTAAGAATGCATCAAGTTTAGTTCTCGTTTATTTTTCAAAGCTGCTGCAAGTACCTTTATAAAGATGACGCATTATCCACTGAAGTTTTCTTGAGGGCGTGACCTTGAGATGATTTAAAGGGACAATAAAGCTCACTGCTTCATGTGCCTGAGAATTAATCACCGTAACTCATATTCGTGCATTTTAGATTATATGTCTTCGGTTCGCTTTCTACGTCAAATTCTACTTACGGCATTAAATATTAACTATGTTATTGATTTTGAAATAAGTTGCCATTATCCCTGAGCACGAGAAAAAATCGGATCAATTTCGTGATTTGGCAATTTGCGTTCAGTAATTGTACAAATTAGAAAATATATCCCCAAATGGATCAGGTTTGGAGTTTTTGCAAGCTTATTGTTAGTATAGACAACGTATGATTATGATTTCACAATTGTGTAAATGTTGAGTATGCCTCCAGAAAAGAGGAGCGTGCACCTACGTTCAAGGTGCTACTTATTGTTACCCTGGCTCAAGGTATTAAGGGGATAAGACGAGGACTGGTCGAGTGAAAGTCAATATTATGTGTGGTACTCATGTTAACCCGGGGCATAGCATCTCTGTGGGATAGCACTGTCACACGCACACGCACGGACGCACACACACATTGATATGTCCCAACCTCTCTCTCATGATCCGTTTTCGTTCCATCAAAATAGGGGCGGTAGGGATAGCCTAGTGGTTAAAGCGTACGCTTTCGATTCGTTCGATTCCCCATATGGGTACAATGTGTGTGAAGCCAATTTCTGGTGTCCCCCGCCGTGATATTGCTGGAACATTGCTAAGAGCGGCGTAAAACCATACTCACTCACTCCGTCAAAATACATTTTACGCTATATCATTCCTTGAACGAAAAGAGAATCATTACCTCTGTGTCTTTCCGCTCTTGCGTGAACCTGTCCGTCTCTGCTTGTCCTCGGTATTCAAAAACCTGCCTGGACCTATAAGAAAAGTCTGGGGATACTGGAGTACTTCTCGATTTACTGTCCGAAATGACCCATTCTGAATCGTCCTCAAACACGTTCCCGTCGGCTTTTGAAAAACAGTCTTCATTTTCCTTGCACGAAGACGTCGATGAGTTTCGTTCCTTCGGTACAACCAACACCCGAACATTTCCGTATCTAGAAACCAAATCCCTTTGAATTGCTTCCATTGGTATATACATTCCCCTTTGCACGGAATCCGATTTGTCCATGGCCTCGTGAAATTGTCGTCTGCCCGCGCTGTCGTCTGCTTCGGGTGTCGTCTGCTCACTTCATCAGTTGTCGTTTGGCGGGACCTTTACTGACAGACCTGAAACAGTGCACGGTTAATCTGAAATATATATGAGAAACCATTCCAGGTACCATTGATGTTAGCAATCTCCGGGGAAACCACGTGCAAAATGATGTCACTGACAATTGACCAATCGGCTGACGGATTAACCAGTCGTGGTTCTCGGACGTCCCATGCGCTTGAAAATTAAGCCATTAACAAGTAGCGCTTGCAGCGACACCAAACCACAATTACCTTGTGCGTTCTTACCTGTCATTTTCTACTAAGTCGGGTGAACTGTACTGCATACTAATCGATAAAGCTAGGGTCACGGGTATGCTTATAAATTATTCCCACAGTGTCAACGAAATAAACTGTCCATGGAATTCCTATACGTCTCATGCGCTTGAACTACACGCGTAGCACGAGCTCTTTGCCGAAGGCATAACGGCAAATTAGGACCATGATCGATGGCGGATCAGAAATCATTTACTGTTGCTTGTGAACGTTATGACTAGGCTGTGAATTGTTCCCTGGGGGTCTATCTGTCCGTATGCTCCACAATACACGTAGGACATAATGCAATATCACCTAACTATAAGCTGCAATAAACAACTGCTTGATTGCAATGTGAGTGATGTCGCAGTTGTCAATATCACAAGGCCGGGACGTCAGAGCATTGAAATCGTGATATTTACATCGGTATGTTGCGTGGGGCTTTGACATATCGATGAAACCAACAATGAGCGCCAGAGTGACGTTTTGAACATAGAGAATATCATATGAGTACCCATGTCATACTATATTTACGACGCGAGTGCCTAAATGTTCGTATTCCCAGAGCGAGAGTGAGGGATATACTGATATTTAGGCACGAGTGTCGTAAACATAGTATGATATGGGCACGAATATGATATTCTGTTTATTACCGAAGTCGTCATATTGAGGAAAATAAACCCAAATCTACTGGCTACCCGCCGTCGCCGCATGTAGAACGCAACGTAACTGAAGAAACGTGACGTCATAGCATTGTTCATGACGTCATGTCACAATGACAAAGTGATATTTTGCCCTAGGGCATGGTATGAAAAATATGAACCCATCCACGGTGTGGAGGGCGTGGGCCTTTAAACCGATCACGCGATACCTCCTTCATGAGGGTTTAAACAACAAGGAAGTGTACGTTACGGCACGCTGCCGAGTCATCCTAGCACGTGGCTGTTAGTGAAATGTGTAAGCGTCTATTTCACTTGACACAGTTGCACAGCAGCCTGTCTGACCCCGCTCCCTGCACGCGTTGCTTGAAACAACAACATAGCCGAGATTTGGGTGGGGTGAGTGAGGGTTAGGGACGCTCTGTTGGTCCCCCAAAGCTTAGGGGTTGATATCAGATATCAGTACCTTGATACGGATTTCACTCCCAATTATAAAGCATGCGTCACAGTTCGTTTTTCGTCAGCACCCAGCACATTATTTCATTTTCATTTTTTTTTTCTTTTTGGGAGGGTGGGGAGGGGTAAAGAGAGGGGGGGCGCTGTTACAATTAGTCTTCAGCAACCAAGGCTTGTCGTATGAGGCAACTAACGGGATCAGGTGGTCAGACTCACTCACTTGGCTGACACGCGTCATCACATCCCAAATGCGTAGATCGATGATCACTGGATTGTCTGGTCTCGATTACTTACCGACTGCCGACATATAGCTGGAACAGTGCAGCGTTCAACAACAAACCAACGAAAACTAGCCCAATACTGACCCACGCGGTACGCGTTGCGCAACAATCAACCAACGAGGCTTGGCGTATTTCGGGTCGTCACATGGCAGATCGCCCACACAACGTTTTCCCAAAGTCAGGTAAATTACGATGGAACATTCCATGCTACAGGTGCGACGAACACGTTGCTAGTTAAAGCAGATCCAGTGTCGAATAATTTACAAACAGACTACCACCATTCCGCTGCCTTTCATTATCCCACAGAAAACACTACTTTTTCAAAACAAACTAGTCTTTACATCAGATGTAGAATATTTTGATTTGCATGACAAGTTCAAGGTGTGGACATATTTAGCGCACCTGTACCTTATCGTGACGGGTTCTAAATGTGTTCTTGACAACGAAGAATTTGTTTTCAATTGCCCGTATTTGCAAACTCCCCATGTTGACTCTGAGCAAAGTGCACGCGTTGGTCTCACTCGGTGCAAATACGTCACGTGGTTCGTTGTTTCCCATGCCACAATCAGCTCTTAATTTAATATTTGCCTACAAAACTAGATGGAAACAAAACTGAAACATTAACAACATGGGAATTAATTGTGTAAATTTACAATCCGTGACAGTAGGAAAAGAAGATCACAATCGGCCGCGTGCTGAAGAGCGGACGCGCGAGACACTCGCGTGGCAGACTAGTCTAGGAAGAGTTGTCCCCCTTATACCACGCCCGACAACACGGCCATCGTGTCGCGTGTATAGATTTCGCTCAAGACAGTCGGGACATTTGCGCGCTTTGTTAAGAAAAACCGACAGGTAATACGACGTGTTTTATCGAAAGTTGTGCGTAGAATCCTAGTTGTAAATACTGGAGAGGAAATTAGCCAATTAATCAATAACGCCGCCCATTAAGAAAAGTTAGTAAATTACCTCCATTATTATTACCGATGCTAATTAGACCATTAAATTATGCAAACTGCTACCTGTCTTGACTGGGATGCGTTGACTTTCGAATTTTCTGACATAAATTCCACTCGCGTTTCTACTGATTGAAGTGTATAGCTTTGTCTGTCGTCGTAAAATTCTCGGCGGAGAGAAGTATCGAAGGGCTGGATGCTTCTGGACGCAGCATTTGAGTCTCGTATATGAAAGGCATCGCCATCATGAAGTTTATGTTAGAATCAGCGTCGTAGTCGTTGTATTCAGACTGTCATTGCCGCTGCTGATCATGTTGATGGTGAAGTTGACGATGTTACTTAGTGTATCACCTAATTTGTATTGATATAGCACCCTACCCCCACCCCACCCCCCATCATCAACAGCAGCAGCAGTATTAACATCATCACCATCATCAAAATGTTCCATCACAACAATCGTATTCGTCATCAATGTCGTCATCGTCGTCGTCTTGACATCATCATTGTTATCATCGACCCGTGAAGATCCGGGGTAGAATATGTCTTCAGCAACCCATGCTTGCCAACAAGGCGACTATGCTTGTCGTAAGAGGCGACTAACGGGATCGGGTGGTCAGGTTCGCTGACTTGGTTGGCACATGTCATCGGTTCCCAATTGCGCAGACCGATGCTCATGCTGTTCATCACTGGATTGTCTGTTCCAGACTCGACTATTTACAGACCGTCGCCATATAGCTGGGATATTGCTGAGTGCGACGTTAAACTAAAGTCACTCACTCATTGTTTTCAACAACAGCATTATCATCATTTTTAAAATCAAAATGTTCCATCACAATCGACGTCACCATCATCATCATCGTCACCATCATCATCATCGTCACCATCATCACTCAGCTCCGGGAGGAATATTTACCGTTATACACATCACGTAGCAAGAAAGTTAAAAATCTCCTTTCTAACCTCCTGTCAAAAGTTGATGTTAAAGTAAAATTCCGAGTATTTTCATCGTCATCTACTTCCTCCTCCTCTTCTTCGTCATCGTCGTAATTGTCATCATCATCGTCGTCGTCGTCATATCATCACCACCACCACCATCATCATCATCATCACTACTGTAATCATCATCGTCGTCATCGTCGTCATATCATCATCATCATCATCACCAATATAATCGTCATCATCACCGTGCTATTTTAATAACGATGCAGATGTGCCCTGCGAGAGCCCAATACAACGTTCACCTGTTCTCCGTTAACAAGCCGCGAAAACCACTAATGACAGACCGATTATTATCGGTTAGCACATGTTCCAAATATCAGATTATCACCTTGGCAAATCGGAGCGTGGGTTATCACCCCGGATAATTGTTACCAGGTATAATTACCACTCGATAGAAATACGGATTTAGAAAAGTAATTAGAACATCAAGTCACCATGTATGACCTCATCAACCTTGAGTCGAAGCTTGAAGATATGCATGTTGTCAAATTACATGTATCATTATATGAATGTGTTACCTGCAGTATGGCTTGAGATAATTATAATTACGTGCTTGCGGTAATTGCCGATATTTTGATCATTATGCTTATGTAAACACAGGTGTAGCAACACAGGTAGGGACATCAAAAGAAGAGCCGCCCAGTTGAGGCAGTAACGCCTATCATCGCTGTCTACGCGCTGGTTTTTGTGTAACCTTGAGCTATTTTTGTGTCAAGTACCGTTATGCTTGTTTTATTGTTCCTCTCTCGCTATAGCGCGTAACTGAGACACACATATCTAAGCCCCAATAAATTTCTTGACATTCCTCGTTATAACGCTAAGCTTACACATATAAATGCATGTTAGCATAAAAGTATATTAAAGAATACTTCTTGTGATACACAAAGCGTAATAATAAAGAATTGTGAACTAAATTCAGACAGCACAATAAATCATTATTATCATACAACGTGTGTAAAGTGTGTTTTTTAAGAGATCAGGATTAATGTGTAACATTGTTTGCATTAAATAGACTCAAAAAAATCATCTATATTTGTTTTACAAATACTAGCACGTTCCATTACAAACAGTCCACTTACAAGACAAAAAATATCGCTTAAATTTGGAGATATATACAAATAACATTTCCAAAACATAAATTATCTAATACAAATGTCAGCAATAGTTTGACATGTAAACAAAATGTAAACAAAATGTAAACAAATCTTTGCTCACCAACTTTTCCAAATTTCAGAATCCATCGGAATGTGCAGAACAATCCATTGTGAAAACGTTCATATATGTGTGTATTTCCTCGAATATTGCTTGGGCGAATACAAAACACTGATATACCCCTCGTGTACTCTGCCCGGGTACTTGTGATGCACGCCTCAGCCAGATAGCGGTACTACCAGCCCTAAATCCCGAGCCGGCTTATAGTAAAGATTTTATCCCGTACTACGAAACACACACCTCGCGCTGTGATTGGCAGGTCCAAAGCTCCGTTAGGGGCCGTCAAGGGTGGAAATTCCTCAAGTAATTATTAGTAACGAAGCCAGCTGTATCCAGTCACGTGACCGTATGTAAAATAACCGGTCACGTGACGCACTTATATTCTCACGGTGGCGTCGTCTGCTCCGCTGGTCACGTGACTTCACGGGTCACGTGACACGCATTCCGCTATCAGCCACGATAGCGGGTGCATTCGTGTTTCTTTTAGTGCTTGTTTACATATGATAACTAGTACAGCGGTCGAACACGGGTATTTGTTTACTTGTACCACGAAGATTAATAACCGAGCGATTTAAATTCCATTCAGTTGCACTATATCAAGGTTTTATTCAGGAGTACATTTCAACCCGGCCACCCCAAACAGTCACCCATTCTGCACCCAATGGCACAATTTGATACGAGAAATAATTTACTGTTCATTGTGACAAAAACTCCGCAAACAATCTAAATGTAATGTTCATTTAGTATTCCCTTAAGCATTAGTTTATTGTCGAATTCCAATACAATGACCCCGAGGTGATGATGTCCGCCATATTGTTAGCGCCCCGGAACATGTATACGAATGTGTTATTGGCGTTAAGCAGTTTTCGGATCTCGTAACACTCTCGTGTGACTTGAGCTAGCGGGACTGTGTAAACCGAACAAATAATATTTTCACGTGTTTAGTCGGTGCATGGACACATGATTTCAAGTCAATATTTGTCGATTTCCTGCATTGTGGTTTTGCAACAGTTTTCCTTGTCCGCCATTGTTACGTACACGTTGTTTTGATGGCGGATTTCTACAGTGACGCCGGAATAATGGTCCAGGTTCACTAATGGCACTGACGAAATTAACGATTTCTTCGTTATCAAATCTGTATTGGAATTACATTCGGCCTCGGTAGGTTTCTCACGCGGTCTTGTGTGTTTTGTCTTCATTACGGATGTTCCATCAATTTCGAACGCTCATTTTCGAAAAGGAGCCCGTTCTTGCAACGTATGTTACATTTAACCACCTGACACCATACACACAAATATTAAAAACAAAACAACGTACATTTGTATCTCCCTTGGTAATCAAGAGAAATACAACCTTGAAGCGGATTCTCTTTATTTCGCTTCAAGGCTTTATTTCTCTTATAAATTTGTGTGTGCAATAGTTTCCAAATTTAGCCAGTCGGGCTAGATATGCCTGAAGGTTATTAGCCCACACAATAATTCACTAGCCCGACATTTGAATGTAGAAACTAAGCAAAAGATTACAAAGGTAGATGAGAATAAGACATTTCGGCATGACACAGGTTTCATCATTAAGCTGCTGATATGACGAACACCATATCAGGCCATAATCTTGCATGATTTAAAGGTGAAATATAGCTTAACAAGTAGGAGAGTGATATATGTACAAAATGACCCCTTGAAAATTCATTAGCCAGTTGGGCGAGTGACTGTGGATATTCACTGGCCCGACTAGATGTTTGACTAGCCACGGGCTATCAGGCCAGTGGCTATTTTGCACACTGTGTATGCCATATTTTCATGCACACAAATATTTTTTTAAAAAGTGAAATCAAGAAAAATAAAATATTACTGACGTGTGAAAAAACTTACCTGCTTAAACATCCCCTCGAATCTAGTTGCCAACTCTACTGACCATATAAATACATGTAGTGTTATTGTAATATCGGCGGCATCGTCGTCATTACGTGTGAATATCTCCTTCAATATCAGTGTAACACTTGCAGAGTTTTAATATGTCCATAAGCATTGATTGTTTGTTACCTGAACCTGTGGGAAATACATTTTTTAAACCCAAAATCCAGGAAAATCAACAACTACTGTTACTACTACTACTACTACTACTACTACTGCTACTACTACTACTACTACTACTACAACTACTACTACTACAACTACTACTACTACTACTACAACTACTACTACTACTACTACTAACTACTACTACTACTACTACTTACTACTACTACTACTACTACTACTACTACTACTACTACAACTACTACTACTACTACTACTTCTACTACTACGAAGATCGATGCTCATGTTCTTGATCACTGGATTGTCTGGTCCAGATTCGATTATTTACAACCCGCCGCCATATAGCGGGAATATTGCTGAATGTGGCGTAAAACTAAACGCACTCACTTCTAAGTGAATCCCTTGTGATGAAGTGTTCACCATCGAATGCGTTCTACTTGACTGTGTGGACTTTTGAAATGCAAGGGTTTCTCATTATCAAGCAGTAAATTTTCATGATATGTTTACCTGCGTGGGTTCTTTAAAGAAATTGGTCTTCATCATAAATTGTAAAATGCATGACAAATCGTCAAATTAGCTAGACTTTTTTTATAAAAAATAAAATAAAATGTGTATTTTAAGAAACTTTTCTACTTAAAATGAACTCGTGTATATGTGCAGATTTGATGTCGTCGCTCTATGGCTGCAGTAACGTCAATGCGTTGTAGGGGCGGTGGGGTAGCCTAGTGGTTGAAGCGTACGCTCGTCACGCCGAGGACTCGAGTTCGTTTTCCCACATGGGTACAATGTGTGAAGCCCATTTCTGGTGTCCCCCGCCGTGAAATTGCTGGAATATTGCTAAAAATGGCGTAAAACCATACTCTCTCGCGCACTCACTCAATGCGACGTAACACTGTAACTCCCTCACTCACGAGAGCAGAGTTATAGCGACACAAGGGACGCTTTGTTGCACGGGTGAGTGAGTGACTTTAGTTTTACGCCGCTTTTAGCAATGTTCCAGCAATCTCATTGCTGGGAACACCAGAAATGGGCTTCACACATTGTACATGTATTATCTCAAGTTAAATATATTATGCCAGCTGGGGTGAAATTAGTGAATCGTTTTAACTCCGATTTCGCGGGGGGGGGTCATCGCGTTATTTTTCAACTTTGTAAGTTGAAGTTGCATTTTTTATCATTTGTTACTGTAAATCCATACGAAAAGGTATCAGGATCTGCAAAGTTGTGTTTTACGTTGCATGTGACCTTTAGCTACACATGTTTGGCCTTTCCTCTAACTAGCAATAGCGTGTAACTAAACTAAACTAAATATACTTTAACATGATAATTCCATCAGGTTCCCATATACTGTAAACGTATTATATATCGCGCAGGTTTAATTTTCGCGCTTTTCGCACCAAGCGAAAACAAGTACGTTTACAGTACGTGCATGGGGTGTCCTTCTTGATTTTGACGGTTTTCAAGAAGGTCGATATATCACTGTAGACCATTATTTTTTTACAATCCTCACGCAGTTATTAGTGTTTGTTTCTAGCCGGGTTTTTTTGTTTGAAAATGATAATCGTATGAATGCAAATTTCACGTATTACACCCTTATTATTATTATTATTCATGAGTGACCATAAGGAAGTGCAAGTGCACTCTCAAAACATTCATTTCTTTCAATCTAAATTATAAATGAAGTTCCCCTATTTTTGCTATATTTTTTTTTTAAGAGCATGTTATAAAAATTATTACCATATCAACATTGATTGACTCCGATATGTTTTTTCAATCTAAATTATAAATGAAGTTCCACTATTTTTTTTTTTTTTGAAGAGCATGTTATAAATATGATACCCACACCATTTAGTGAGATGTCTTACACTTTATGATGAAAGGGGCAATGACCGACCCGAGATACGTCATCCATAATTCTCCTTGTGATAAATGCGTACATTTTATCTGGAACGCTGCAGTTTCTGGCACGCTAAAAGGGCAATGTCTTTTTCTCGGAGAAGTAACCTTCCCGACCGAGTTATCCGACCGTGCATCCCCCAGACCGTAACGCTCAGCCCCCAACTTCCCACGGGAGGCCACACCTCATTAAACCGCGCAGTGAGGTTTTCATTTCAGTCGTTTTGAAAGAGTCACAATAATTAATAATTGCATCCTTTTCTGACTGTCAGACGATGGTGAGGGAATCCATAAAAAAAATTAAAATGCACCTCATGTATGACCTACAATTGTTATACAGGATTACTTACAAGGAAAGGAACTGTTTTTTGCGAAATTGATGAAAGAAGCATTCACTTTATTTCCTGCGTGTGGAAAATAAGTGCTCATTACGTTTATAATACAGAAATGGCTTCTCAATCTTGTGGTTAAAGCGTGCGCTCGGTACGTCGAAGACACCACATGGGTACAATGTGTGAAGCCGATTTCTGGTGTCCCCGCCGTGATATTGTTGGAATATTGCTAAAAGCGGCGTAAAGTAAACTCACTCACTCACTCTCTCTCTCTGTAACTTTCGCAACTGAAACTCAGCGTATGCCTCACTCATTCACTAAACCATACGCTCGTAAATCAGAGAGAAAGTGAGAGAGAGAGAGTGAGTGAGTTTATTTTACGCCGCTTTTAGCAACATTCCAGCAATATCACGGCGGGGAACACCAGAAATAGGCTTCACACATTGTACCCATGAGGGGAATCGAACCCGGGTCTTCGGCGTGACGAGCGAACGCTTTAACAACTAGGCTACTCAACCGCCCCAAATCAGGCGTATGGACACCAACCTGCAGGTGTATATATCAACCAAGGGGAATACCCTCACGTGATATCCTACTCTACCAACCTTGCTTATATCACTGAAATCGATACCTTTTTGAAATCGACATCACACGACAGAACATGGTGATTAATTTCACCTGTAAAGAACCAATTACACGATATTTACATTCTATCAACACGTCAAAGTCAGACTCATCGTTGTTTGGTTTGTGAAATTGACACAATATTAACACGAATGTGCTACACAATGGATGTGTGTAGCTTTAGCATGGACGCGTGAAAGTAACCGACTTTGATCTGAAGTAATTAAACAAAGGTTAGGTAACGAGTCCTAGACAGTGGAATTAGGAATTACTTAGCGGTCGTCTTATCAAGGAGTTATCTAATCTTAGATTAACCTTTACCTTCGTAACCCCG